TCATCTATTCCTATGTATATAAAGAAGTTAATGAATCCTGCTGTATCAGTTATCCATGTGTGCTTTCTGGATTTGAATTTATGCAACAAACTCTGACAGTTTCCTAAAACAACTCCATTTTTGACAAATCTAATGTACGGCGTGAACATACACCAAGAATATCCTGGTTGCAGAAGGAAGAACTAGATAAGAGTTGATTTCTCCATCCCAAGTGTTAAAAACAGATTTCTCACCTCCTTCAATATGATTTGAGTCTGAATGGAGATCAATAGATTGTATCTTACCTGTGTCTTCTTCTGTCCTTCAATGGGGAACTTGGACCATAATGGAGAGGAATGATTGATGGGGAAGACGCTTGGGTGGGTCCAAACTTCTGCCCATTTATTTTCCAATTAAAACAGAGATGTCATTGTCCTCTCCAGCCCCCTAATTTTCCATACCAATACCGGAAGCAATATCTTTAGCATTTCAAACAACATTTAGAAGCATATATAATTTTAGAGTTTCTCAATAAAAGGTTAAATCATGGAGACTGGACCAAAGTTGGTTTAATCGGAGACATTTTGTCACTCATCCAAGTAACTCCCATCACTCAAAATTAAAAAAGAATAGAACATTGGAAAAGTGAAGAGATTCTTATTGATGAGGTGGTGATTAGGAAAATATTAGAATGTGCAGAAATGAATAGATTAACGTTAGCAATTAAGGAGAAAGAGCAAACTGTTTTATAATATGATATGGAAAGTGCTTTACCAATGATTAGAGAATTAAAAAAGGAAATTGGAAATAAAAGAAGGCGGCAAAAAGAATAGTGAATCTATCGATAGAGATAAGAATAAAATGACAATTGTTAGTATGAGTATGATGAGAATAACTATTTTTACTGTTATTGTATTTTTAATTAGAAGATAAGTTTAGAAGGAAATGAAGAGCTTTACCCTGTTTAACTGTTCAATGTATTATAATCTGTGGAAGGATTGTCAAACTCTTTACTAAGGCTGCATTACTATTACTATTAATCTTCCCATTGTTCCTATCACCCATCTCCTCTCAATTATAACTGCAGGACTGTAACTTTGTTGCTTGTATCCTTACAATTTATATTGATTGTTTCCTGATATGATTTGATTGCTTATTTGTACCCTATGACGATCATTAAGTGTTGTACCTTATAATTCATGATGAATGTATCTTTTATGTACATTGAGAGCATAGGCACCAAAGACAAATTCCTTGTGTGTCCAATCACACTTGGCCAATAAATAATTCTATTCTGTTCTACTCTATTCTGTTCTCTATTTTATTCTATTCTATTCCCTATTCTATTCTACTCTACCCTACTCTAATTCTACTCTACTCTACTCTGTTCTGTTCTCTATTCTATTCTATTCTATTCTATTCCATATTCTATTCTACCCTACTCTCCCCTACTCTAATTCTACTCTGTTCTGTTCTCGATTCTATTCTATTCCCTATTCTATTCTACTCTACCCTACCCTACTCTTATTCTACTCTACTCTAGTTCTATTCTCTATTCTATTCTATTTTCTATTCTATTCCCTATTCT